ACAGAAATATCAGTATAAAAGATGAAGTTGTTTAAGTTATTATTTTAAGTAGCAATATATTGCAGCATGTCAAGAGCAGGGCCAGGTTAGAAGATTAAAGAGGTTTGAATAGTTGGAATATTGAGATTTGGTAAGAAGAGAGGGTGACTAGGGATTAAGAGTAGAACTGAGGTAAAAGGTCCAGATAATTTGTATGAAAGTTGAGTGTTTTGTTAGAATTTAGTCTACCAAAAAATTTAATAGCCTGGCTTGTAGGAATAAAAGTAGTATACTTGTTGGCAATAATATTAGAGTTTAAGGAGCAGTTTAAGTATAGAGTTGTGGTTATAGAGGGTAGAGAATGAGGTGGGAGTGAATAACTTGTAATATTACATTGCTAGTGATTTATTAGAGTATAACCAGAATTGTTAGATTGGCAATAAACTTTGTCAATAATAGTTTAATTATTAAAAAGAGTAATAAACCATGGCTTGGAGTATTTATAGAAGTAACTAGTATTATAGCTATAGTAGTTGGAAGAGAGTAGGTGAAAACTAGGCAGAATAGTACAAGCCGAGATGATAATAGTTTGGCTTTTAAGAAAAGTAAACCAAAGAGAGATTTTTTCTCTTGAAATTTTGTTAAGTCTAAGTAAGATGTGTATCTAGTCAAGAAGACAAGAGTTGTTGAATATAGTAAGTTAATCAAGAAAAAGTAGATGGTAATAATAAAGTTGCTTTTTGAAAGTAAAGATACTGGGAATAGGAGGCAAGAATTAATTCAAGAGGTATTAAACCTTTTTGAAAAGTGAAAGGTAACTAAAAAATTAAATACTAGAAATGAAGCTATAATCTTCATATTACCTTTAGATATATAAGATCATATAATAGAATAAAATCAAGTAAGAATATATAAACTATTCTTTATTGCTATTAACAGATTGCCTTAAGATTCAAATTGTATTTATTGTCATTTATTTAGATATATAAATTCAATTTTATTGAGTGAAATAATAATTTGTAATTATTTGATGCTTTTTTTTAACAAGTGCACTATATTTAGTTATTAATATAAAAGATTAAGATTATATTGTTATAATATATATACAAAACATATAACAACTAACGTAACTAATAATAATAGATTGGCTTTCAAAACTAATAAAATTTAGTTTTCGATCTTTTTAATCTCATAACAGTTGCTTCAGATTTAAATTATAGTCCTAACTAATAAAATTAGCATAATTTCTTTATTTTTTTTTTAACAATACATATCAATAAATATTTTTATTTTTTAATATTTTCATAATGTTAAAATATATAAAAATATTAATATAAATGATTCTTTAATTAATAAAGGTTTTATTTCTAGCTATTACTTTTAACAGATTAAATTAACAAACAATTATAAAAACCATTTTTTTTAAATTCAGATTGATTTAGTTTTACAAGTTTATTAAAATTGCAAAACCAAATTACTTGGGTTTATTTAAATTCAGGTTAAAACCAGTTCAAGTTGAAGTTAAAAAATTAAATCTAAATTATAAAAATAAAATCAGTCAATCTCTAAATCTACTCTACAAACTTTTTTTAAAATTTAAAATTAGTTTACTTAATACAATTTTTATAAAATTAAATATAAAAAAAATTTACCATTAAGTTTATATATAATTTTAAAATAGTACCCCTACTCTTAATTTAGTTCAAAAAATTGCAATTAATTGCTTATAATTAATTATTCAGTAAACCTGAAATCTAGTTTTTGTTTAGTATTTATATATGTTATTATAATAATCTTAATAAAAATACAAAAAAAAATTTTTTTAATAAATTAAATTTTTTTAATATAATTGATTTTTTTTTTAATACTGTAAAATTAAATTTTTTCTTAAAATTTTTTTAACTAAGTTTATTATTTTAATAGATTTTTATAATTTAATACCATGGCAATATTATATATCATTATACTCTAAAAATTATGTACAAATTATTTAATATATAGGTGAATCAATAAAATGCACTATATTTTTTTAATGAATTTTTTTTAAAATTTTTAAACAAATATAATTTAGCAAATTTAATATTTTTAGTAATTTTTTAAATAAGGTTTACAAGTTTTTAGAATTAATTTTAAAAAAAAATTTATTAAATTTGATCAAGTTTTGGTCGAATTATTCTTGTTTAAAGGTTTAAAAAAACTACATAGAAAAATATAATATATTTCTACTGACTCACCCCGATATATCAATATATTTTAAACAATATAATACGTAATAAACTTTGTTTATATTAAAAAAAATCTACATCTAACCCTAACCTAATCTTAAAATTACATTCAAACACCTTTTCAAATAAATCAAAAACAAAATTTTAATTAACCTGAAATCGAATAAGTTATAGACTATTTTTTTTGCATAATGAGTTTTTAATAATTTAGACACTCTGCATCTCTCCTAATGTGATTGGCTAGTAGTCGAGATTGTGCACGAATACTATATTAATTGAAGTAATTCTTATAGCAATTTTACTGAAGATTTATATTGTGAAATGCAGATGTAGATTTTAGTCAATCAACACAATTCTGATAAAAAAAAGATGGTTATACCCTTTTTTTTTATCGTGATAATGAACTCACTAGACGGTTAAGCCATTTTTCACAAATTAGAAATTGATTTCTGGCCCAATAATTTAGGTGTTTGAGAGCACTCTTAGATATATTTGATTGCTAGCAAATCACATTGTTACTTGAGAGCACCTCCAAGCATTTCTTCGGATACAGTTTTCTAGATAAACTATAGATAGAAATCAATACATAGCGATACTTATTGCAATTCGTTAATAATCGTAGTGATGCCCAATTGTCACGATAGATAAAAACTAAGGTCTAAATCAGTACTAAATAGATTTAGCATTTTAGATTTTAGTTAGTGCTAAAATAATTATTCTAACATTTATTTTATGATTAGAGTTAAATAATTATATAATAAAATTATCACGATAAATTTTTTCAGTTATAAATAAAGGGTTGTTATTGGACTAGAGACGTTGATCCATAATATTATATAATTTTAGAGAAAATTCATAATTTTGGTGTTAAGCCAAAATTTTAGAAATTTTTATGCACGATTTTAGCGGTTTGATTGGTTTAGATCACGTTGCCTGTTCATTCCTGTTAATCTGATTGGCTGTGCTAATACAATTCGCGAACACGAAATTTCAAATGATCTGACTAGAATTATGAAATCTAATTTCTTAATGCCGGCCAAATCCACGTTATCAAAAAAAAAAACGGCGTCCCTGAATTGTACCAATAAATCTGTCACATGATATTAGTAAAAAATAAAGTTAAACCAATCAAATTGTATCATTTGGTCAAGTCTAATTCTAAATTTTTTATTGGACCAGTCCAATAACAACCCTGCAATATATAATGTCTTACTATTTATTAAAATTGAAGAAAAGACCATCTAGATATTAAAGATTGGCTTAAAGTTATTATTTTTAAGCATATATCTGTTTGCATACGTACAAATATGTTATATATTATTGATCAGATTTTTCTCGAGCTGAACTTGATAAATAATAAATAATAAACTTGAAAGCCTGAAGTTTCATTTTCTCTTGGTAGGTACGCAAATGGTTTCCATGAATTCCGGGTTCATACATTTAGCATTATTATTTATTTCAAAGTGTTATCCTAATTTACTCTTCATTTAATCATATTATGGTATGAACATCATGCTTCTATGGCGAATGTGTTAAGTATGGGCACTCGGACCCTCGTAAGAAAGAGTTAGTAATACGGAGAATACAATCTCTGCCCTAGGTTTTATCGTCAGCCTATGTCATCAATGAATATAACCTTTGCTTAGTTTTTTCTCTTCATTTTTTTCTTCATTCACTGAATTATTAACTTATTCGATTATTGTTAGTCACAATAATGAAAAACAAAGCTTTGATAAATTATTCCTATTTATTTATTATTATATTACAAACTCACTTAAAATTTATGCTCAATCTGTTCAATTGAATTATTCACTATTTGCGCCGTTGGCAGAGTTTTGGAACGTATCTAATGAAGTTCCTATAGTTGTTAGACGGTTTCGCGCTGACGAAACGCGTAACCTAGTTTCGTCTTTCATCAATTAGAATCTTAAATGACGAAACTTAAAGGGTGACAAAACTAATAAAGACGAATATTCAAATAAATGTTGTTGAAAATCATTGAAGATTATGTGTATAAGAAAATAAACAAAAATAAAAATTATAAAAAATTTTATTGTATAATAGGCGCTTGAATTGTTTAAAGGGAGTTAGAATGTATATTCTATATTTTATTATACTAGTACGTCACATATCAGTTCTAGTGAGAAATCGCATGTTGCTTACTTTGTGATCTTACAAATTTATTTTGTGCCAGCATGTTTTAATTCATTATTTGTGTTATTCCATGAGCACTAAGGCTTCGTCTTTTTGAATGTAAGGTTTAATCCTTTTGAGTTTAAGGTTTCGTCTTTCGTCTGAAGAATTTGGGGTTTCGACTTTTGGGGTTTAGGTTTCGTCTTTCGTCATCATGCGAAAAAGGTTTCGTCTAACAACTATAGAAGTACCCAAATTATTAGAGAAAAATCATTAATTGAAGCAAATCAAATATTAAAAACGTAATTAGGGGATCATATATAGATACAAAATTATATAAAATAAATTCATTTCTAAAAATTAAAATAGAAAATTCAGACAAGATGAAACCTTACAAAGATTTATTATCTTTCAACCCAACAAATAATTCCTTAACTAAATTAAACTCCACGTTCGATAAATTCATGAGGTTAATTTAACTATACAATATAGCATAACAAATTATACAATTAGTAATGAATACAAAGTTAATATGTCATTATATTATTTAAATCCTAATGATTATGAAAGGAGCAAAGCATTTATCGATGATACTATTCAATATAACCCAATTATAAGAAATAATACACCAAATTTAATTCGACCACTTTAAAATCTGGTATTATGGACAAAAGAGTATTAGTTATAGAAGTATTAGGTGGTAAATGGATATGTGATATTCTTGGTGGAGAGGTTTATACAGCAGGTTTCTGGGTAAATGGAGTAGGCGAAATAAATCAAAGATATTTAGTAAATGCTGCACATTGTTTTGATAATGATTTTATAAATCCAGATGGGTCTCAAAATTTTTATATTTTGAATTCTGTTTATCTGGACGAATGACTATGTAAATTCTCACAAACGCACAATATAGATTATATCTTGAAGGAGAGTGGTTTGGTTGGAGTCTTTCCTATCGTAAAAGATGAAGGTATAGTCACACGTCTGTTTCCTATTGTTGGTTCACTAAATATAGACTCTCTAGATCCTGGATTTTATATATGTATGTCTGGTGTTGAAAGCATGTAATTTGCGAAGAAGTATTAGCATTAGATGCAAATGTAAGGAATGGTAAAAAATCATTTTTCACCGATAAAACATATGATTATTATGATCCGAATATATTAAATTTAAACCTCAGCATATCCAGATTATAATTAAATCGGTGAAATATGATTTTTTTTACTATCTCTAGCAAATATCAATTATGATGATGGTCCATCACTTGATGGCGTCATATTAACGTCTATAATATCTGCTTTAGGTGATAGTGGAACACCTGCCTTTCGTTTCGAAAACTTTCCCAACAGATCGCTTTTAGCTGGGATAATTGTAGGTGGGAGTAATGTTAATGAAAGAAGCTAGACTCAATGATTAACACAATTCTAGAAGATTGGTTTTTTCTCACTTCCGCTAATTAATATAATGTACTAATGTTCTGCTGTTTTTACATTGAAATTCAATGTTTTAGTCATTTAATATCTGTAATTAATAGTTAAAAAAACTTCAGTCTAAAAAAAAAAAATTTCTTAATTCAAATAGCTTTATATATAATAATCTCTGGATATACA